GATTATCTTTCGATCCCGTTTGAATTGAGCCACGAATTACACATATGATGTTTGTCAATTTAAAAGATAATTTTGCAAGTAAAAAAATAAAACTGTGTCGTAAAACTGTGAAGTAACACTTTTTTTTTGTGAAACCGCTCAATGAACTACATCTCCCGTCTCGCACCACCACCAAGACGGCCGTCACGTTGGCACATTTCACTTTCTTTCAGAATGAGGCGGAAAGTATTAAAAGAGGTGAAAATCACTCCAAGTCTGGGCATGTTGAGAGCTGTACATACACACAAGGGGAGTTAGTCGGTTCCTAAGAGCCAGCATGCAGGACGGGGTTCTGGGATTTGTAGTCTTTCTAGTTGCATATTTTTCATAGTCTTATATTTCAACAGTTTTACGACAAACTGTGACTTTTTTGACATGGACATTATTATTTAAGATTGACAAACATCATATGTGTAATTCATGGCACAATTCAAACGGGATCGAAAAATACGTTTTCTCTCCCATTGACTTCAATACATACTTTTTCCGAAATAAGGTCCCATGGGTCGGAGGTAGATGGGCGAGACTTCGCCTCTCTATTAAAGTAAATGTTTATTCAATTAAATATAATAAAGTACGTTCTTTCACATCTTTAAATTAAACCCCTGATTGATTGTGAGTATTATCTCGGCAACTGGTGAGCTTTGTCTTCACCTAGTGGCGGTTTGACTGTACTACACTGTAATAATTCAGTATATTTCTTAAAGAAAAGCACATTAAAAAACAGATATTTTTGGCCTTACACAATATTTTTGAGGAGGAAATAAGCTATAAAATCCTGAAATATTATAAACTAAACTCGAACAAGGGTGTTATATTTTTTAAATTGTGATTTTATAAGTTGACTTGATTATTTCTGTTGCATTCTCAGTGCTTAGTCTCTATTTCTCTCAACGCTAGCATTAATATAAAGCATAAACAAAAACTACATTTCAGTTCAAAGGTCTCTGTCCTTTGTTGATTCTGAGGGGCAAAGTAAACTGGAGCAAAGGTCATGAAAAGTTAATATAATATATATATAATCCCTTTTTAACTTAACTTGAGTAAGACTTTGAATGCGTGACTGTGACAGTATTTTTACAGCGTAGTATTGCAACGTCCACCTCTGTTAATTGGAGTTGTTGGATATACATGTTATCAGCGTGTAAGAAAGGAGGGGTTATTCCTACCAGCAGTCACTATCTGCACACTCCAGGGGTACTTGGCCATCAACACCTGGTAGGATTTCCACAGTCCCGCCATTCTCCCTCTGAAGAAAGAAAATGTTTAAAAAGGAGACACTAGTTTTACACACTAACCCCGCCTACCGTCAGGCAGGCAATGTGACTCAAATCAAGCGACCCTGCTAATACGTTCCCTTATTTCGTCAATTAGGGTTTATCAATTAGATTAAGAAGTTCCTGTTTCTTTCAGTTACTAGTAAGCTACTTAAACAAATACTTTAAAACATGCGTATGCTTTCTGAGAAGTTTGGCAAGGAAACGTTTTAATTAGGCAACAGTTTGAGCATATTTTGTCCATATAATAAACTAGTAGCGTTTGCCATAATTAAAATGCAAAGTTATGTTTTTAAATAAACTACGTGCTTCTCAGTGAAATGTGTCAATGCCGAATGAAGGACAATATTCAAATCATTAAAGGGAAACTAAAAACGAAGAGGTGAAAGACACGTGTATTTAAAAACAACCAAGAACACTTTAAATTGTTACATTTCTGAACGAGCTTCGGTGTTACGTTCAGTGACGTTTGGGCTAAAGCAGGTACATCTTGGCAGCAAGTTTAGTGTTGCATCACAGTCAACCTCAATACCAATTAGATTGCATTATATAGCTTGTAACTAACTTTAAATCTGCATTAAATTGTAAATAAATATAACTTCTAACCTTATTAGTTTCTTTAACGTTACAGACACCGAGCTGCTACCTTCTCGCACAGATGTCACAGCACGTCAAAGGTACTGTGTATTAAATACTCACTTTAATGCAGTAAATTAAATGTGAACATGCCCGTTTGTGATCCCGGCTCCACACTGAGAGCTGCTGGTGATGCGTTCAAGTCCCGAGCCTGAGCTCCGAATTTTGAGCTCTACAAGTAAAGGTCCCACGTTTAATTAAAAAGGTTTGTTTTGAACCCAATAATACTAAACATTCAGGTGCATTTTCAACATTTAAGAGGTCTAATGAACTCACGAATGAATAATTAAAAACTCTTTATTCAATATTTTAGAAAACGAAACAATTTTACATCAAGATATAACTGCCAGGTTGGGTCAATGATATATGTAATTAGTTAAAACACAATGAACAACCAATACAGAGTAAATATGTAGACATTTTTTAGTTTAACTTAACAGATAGCAGCATTAAAGATAACACACAACAGGAGTTGTATTCTCAGTTCATACATCTTCATTTTAATTGTCCCTAAACAATGCTGAACTTGTTGTAGATGTGTTTATAATACGTATTACATTAAGCTGTATGCAGTCCTTATTGTCCTGAGTAAAATCAGAACACTCACCTTGACCTTTAAAACCAAATGGATAGCACAAAAAGTTAAATAAATTATAATTTCCTACAGTCCTGGAAGGCAGCATAAGGACTGCAGGTGCGTCACTTCCGGTGTAAACAAAAGTCTGCTGCCCTCCTGTGGGAAACTCCAGTAACCAAACAATAATCACAGAATCATAAGCTACATGTATAAGTTATTTTAAATGTTTATTCTTGCCATTGCACTGAACACAGAGAGTGACATTAATTAATGGCTGCGATGCATTCAGGTGTTCCCGTACACACTAGTTAACTAGAGAACCCAAATTAGTCATTAGTAATGTTTTTATTTTGTAGTTTGAATGTGCTGTTAATACAGGTGGACTTCAAACACAATCTGAATGAAGGCCACACGTGATGGACACTTTAAATAACAACATTAACAATGGCTGTGTTTCATTTAGGAGCATCAGCAGTGGTAGAATGACCATATTTATTCAGTTACTGTAATTTTATGCAACTTTTATCTCCTACTCTACTACATTTTAATCAGCCAATATTGTACTTTTCACTCAATTACATTTAACTTCACAGATTCAAATAAGTATTCTTTAAAGGGGACCTATCATGCAAAATGCACTTTTGTACGTCTTTTCTACATGAATATGTCCCCGGTGTTCCAGGGAACTCACCAAGTGTCAGAAAACACAACCCTCTCTATTTTCCTCCATACCCAAATCTCTAAAAAAGGGGCTGCAACGGATCTGATAAAAACTGATCCAGATTTGAACACTGTCCTGACGTCAGGACGGTGGCACTACGGCTATTGGGCCAACTCCACCAATCAGGAGGAGACAACCACCATTGCCGTTCGAAAGCGCTGGAGACGTTGTAGTACATATGCCAGGCCTCTAGATGGTGCTGTTGCTCACAGAATCTGCCCTTGCTAAAACAGATCTAAAAAATGTCAAATTGAGCAAAATGAGGCATGGCTAAAATGCATGATCTGTTTGGTATTTAAAAAAAAAAAAAAAAGTATAAATATGCCTTATATAGGTATGGTCCTACACTATATTATTCAAATATAGCATGATAGGTCCACTTTAAATAAACCTGGGGTGCGTTCCAATACCCAAACTGTTTAGCATACCAGAAACAAATGTATTATGTCCCAAAACATTGTACATCAAATCAAATGTGCCAAAAATAGCAATATGTCCTAATGCATGCTGTTGCAGTTTGCACACCAGCATGCATTTTGGGATGTTCTTACCCATAATCCTTTGCTCTTCGGATATACCCTGGGTGTTTCTCAATGTCGAGGACGCTTCCTTGGTAGGACATGTCTTCCAACTCCGAGTCAGAAGCGAGGCAAGAATCCTTCCTAGCCTCGGAAACCTTCTGGGTGTTTCTCAATGACGAGGAAGGCTGCTCCAGAGCCACTATTTCAAGGATGCTACGTCATCGAGTCTCGCCGAAGGACTGTTCCAATGTCCAGCATACTTGGAATTCTACCGAGCCCGGCATACTTCGTTGCAGGAAATTTCGAGGCTGCACATGTGTAGACTCCGCGGTCTTAAAATCCCCACAATGCTTTGCGCACGGACCAATTTCCAAATCTTTGGTGGAAATCGCGCTCCATTTAAGGCGGGGCCTCGCATATGACACGCACCTGCACACCTGTTAGCCTGTTCCACAATTCTGTTTTTTGAGGCTAGGAAGGATTCTTGCCTCGCTTCTGAAGGAAGTGACTCGGAAGACATGTCCTACCAAGGAAGCGTCCTCGACATTGAGAAACACCCGAAGAATTGTGGAACAGGCTAACAGGTGTGCAGGTGTGAGTCATATGCGAGGCCCCGCCTTAAATGGAGCGCGATTTCCGCCAAAGATTTGGGAAATCGTTCTGTGCGCAAAGCATTGTGGGGATTTTAAGACCGCGGAGGATACACATGTGCAGCCTCGAAATTTCCCGCAACGAAGGACGCCGGGCTCGGTAGAATTCCAAGTATCCTGGACATTGGAACAGTCCTTCGGCGAGACTCGATGACGTAGCATCCTTGAAATAGTGGCTCTGGAGCATCCTTCCTCGACATTGAGAAACACCCAGAAGGTTTCTAATTTCTCTAATTCCCCTCCTCGACTCCTATCCTCGAGACTTAGTCCCGCCACAGGAGATGCGAGCGGAGGAGCCGAGGAGGGGAGCCGAGGAGAGAGGAGGGAAGCAGCAGGCGGTTAGAGAAATGAGAACTCTCTGAGCGGTCATTTTAAAGAGACTTCCATTAATGATGACAGGAGGCACAGCAGCCCTCTGATGTGTTCATGATGACTTATATATTTACTTTTAATTAATTGACAGTGCGGTATAATGAGACAACAGGCTATGCGGACACACACACACATATATTATTTATTTATTATTCTATTTATATATATATAATATATATATATATATATATTATATATATATATATATATATACAATTTCAGAATCAAACAGAGCACTCTCATAGTAACGTAACACTATCAGAGACTGGTAGTGTCTCCTGTGGGCAGGACTAAGTCTCGAGGATAGGAGTCGAGGAGGGGAATTTGATGAAATGAGCAAAGGCCCCCATGTGTGTGAAGAAGCAGGAAATAAAAAGGAACTCACCTTGTGGTATAACTGATAATTGATAATCCATGAGTATGGCGTTTCATCACGGCAGTAGTATTTAGTTTGGACAGTAGCTGCTGGGTCCCCCATGAGCTCAGACCCCTCCTTTTTTTTATCCAATTTTTTCTTTTTTAAAGCTTTATACCCCAAATCAGCACTTTTGAAACAGGAAGTGAAATAGAGGGATATGAGGCATGAGCTAGAATGAGGTGATCTGTTTGGTATTTTGAGCAAAACACTTCATAGACATGTTTTTATATATTTGTATATATCTGAGACCCTATTGCCTAAAAATAAGCATGATAGGTGACCTTTAAAAGAAAGAATGCAATTAATATTTACAATGAATCTTGGACAGTAGATGAAACACTAAAACATTAAAAGTAATAATATATAACTTGGATTAAAGGCTGTGAAATAATGCAAAGATTGTAGTAACACTGCAAACAGTATAATGAATAAATAAAAAGGCATTAAAAGCGACAGCAAAATCAAGAAATCACAAAGAGTAAGTTTCCCAAACGGGTCAGTTTTCTGCGTTTTAATTCATAAAACACAAACACCTTTACATGTGAGATGAGACTTTAATGAATTTGAATATATCTATCTTATGTAAACACAAGTGCTGTCGTTGTGTTATTAAATTATGACACTTGATCCCTAGCAACAACACTTGCCATTTGGTCTCCTGGTCCATTAAATTAGGAAATGATTGTGTGAACTAAAGAAGCGATTTAAGGCCACAGAGAGCATTTCTACACACAGTTGGAAAGCAAGAGCCACACACTGATTAAATAACAGCTACATTTAATTGAGATGTTTGTAACATGACGTTAAACTCCATTTAAATTAATATAATGACCGCTTCCTCTGAGCGTGGTTGAAACAAAAATGGCTGCTTGTTATATTGCTGCAGTAACAAATTAACAGATAATATAATCAATCATATTTGACGGTGTTCCCTTAGTTATCTTCAAGTAATGTCGCTGTTGTTGTAGCCTGAGATAATATTATACAGTACTAATATCATTAAATCAAAGCTGTAACACATTAATGATTCTAACAACAGGTTTTACATTAAAAACACAGTACACTGTCAAGTATAAATGATGTTTACCCTCCTGACCTCTGGACATCTCCTCCCCTAAATATCCAATACTTGGGATAGAGACTGTTCTTAAAACACGAGGCGTTCTTTTTCTGGTTTTGTGCAGTGATTCAGCTTTTTAGGAGGAAAATATAAGCAATATTCAAGCATTTAAAAAAAGGTACATAACCACTAGGGTTGCACAATTCCGGGAATTTTCAAAGATGGAAACTTTCCATGGGAATAAACGGGACTTTTCTAAATTGAAGGTTGGCTCTTCGTAGGGAACTTAAATATAGTTGGGGAAAGTATATTTGAGCATAATCTTGACTAAAACAAACAGATGCCATTCCTCAATCACATGCACATAGCACACTGCTTACTGCATGGCTATTGAGACCACACTAGGGCTGAACGATTAATCGATTTTAAATGAAAATCGCGATTTGAAATTATGCAATTATCAAATCGCAAAGCTTCTTGTGTGTCAGTCATCCACACCAATCAGAAGTGCTGTGCTCCACATGTACCAGTCATTGTTAACCAATCAGAAGTGGCCCATGATAGAAGGTGATAGACAGATTGATCCGATCACCTGCCAAGTATTTTTGAAATACTTTTCCAAATGGCTTCCTGGAGCTTTCCTAGATGGTGAAACAAAGCATCTGAGTCAGGTTAGTGATGCTCCATCACATGTTTCTATTACCGGGTGAGTCTTAAACTGAAGCTTGACTTTAAAGCAACCCAACAGAAGTTTCATGTAAGTTCAGTTCTTTCACTCGTAGCTCGGGCTGCGGGGGTGCTAGAGATGCTCAAATGTTTAATAGTTTTGATTTTACACTTTTAAGTACT